CCATCATTACCGATACTCAGATTGCAATTGAATTGTGATTGGATTGTCTCTTTTCATTGGTGGGGAAACCCATCAAAGAATCCAATATTGCCGTTGTTCCACTACTAGTGGAGTGCTGCAGGGTTCGGTCCTGGGCCCAGTACTGTTCAACATCTTTATTAATAACTTGGGTGAAGGTTTAGAGCAAGATGGATGGATGGTATCCTTGAAGTGAGTGGCTTGACTCTGAAGGAGCTGGGGGTGGTGACGGCTGACAGGGAGCTCTGGCACGGGCTGGTCCATGAGGTCACAAAGAGTTGGAAGGAACTGAACGAATAAATAACAACAAATGAAGGTTTAGAGGGCATGCTTATCAAGTTTGCAGATGACAACAAATTGGGAGCGACACCTAATACTCCAGAGGACAGGATCAGAATTCAAAATGACCTTACAGATTAGAGAGCTGGGCCAAAACTAACAAAATGAATTTGAGCAAAAAGAAATGTAAGATACTACACTAATGAAATGCAAAGATACAGGATGGTGACGACAATAGTCCATGTGAGAAAGATCTTGGAGTCTTCGTGGACAACAAGTTGAACATGAGCCAGCAGTGTGATGCAGCAGCTAAAAAGGCCAATGGGATTTTGTGCTGCATCCAAAGGAATATATTGTCTCGATCAGTGGTTCTCAACCTAGGGTTTCCAGATGTTTTTGGCCTACAACTCCCAGAAATCCCAGCCAGTTTACCAGCTATTACGATTTCTGGGAGTTGAAGGCCAAAAACATCTGGGTACCCCAGGTTGAGAACCACTGGTCTTGATAGAAGTCATGGTGCCTCTCTATTTCGCTTTGGCTAGACCTCTTCTGGAATACTGTGTCCAATTCTGGGCACCACAGTTCAGAAGAGATATTGACAACCTGGAAGGTGTCCAGAGGAGGGCAACTAAAATGATAAAAGGACTGGAGACCAGGCCCTGTGAGGAGTGTCTTAAAGAATTGGGCATGTTTACCCTGCAGAAGAGAAGGTTGAGTGGAGACATGATAGCCATGTATAAAAATATGTGTAAAAATGTCATAAGGAAGAGGGAGCAGGCTCATTTTCTGCTGCCCTGGAAACTAGGACTCGGAGCAATGGGTTCAAATTACAGGAAAGGAGATTCCACCTAAATATTAGGAAGAACTTCCTGACTGTACAACCTGTTCAACAGTGGAACTCTCTGCCTCAGAGTGTGGTGGAAGTGCCTTTTTTGGAAGCTTTTAAACAGAGTTTGGATGACCATCTGTTAGAGGTATTTTTGCACCCCATGGCAGGGGGTTGGACTAGATGACCCATGTATTAATCTATGATTCTACTCTTCCTTGCACAATATTTTCCTTCTGCTACAGTCTTAATATTGCAAAGTGGCAGAAGATCTCATGAGAATGCCAGAACTGTACTATTTTGCAGATCTGTCAAAGTAGAAAAAAGATACAAAGAAATATTGAAAAGAAACAGTATGCACATACTAGGTAGAGCAAACTGAGGTTGGCTGTGCAGAAAACTAATTGCAGGAAGTCACATCAACAAAGCGCCAGTATCACAAGGGGTGAAAGAGATCATTCTAATAATGGTATGTTTCCATTTGCTTAGACAGTGTGATTGTGATGAGACAACAGGCTGGTATGATAAAGTCCTTAGTTTGAAAAAGTAAAAGAATCTGATCTTCTCTTACTATGAGTAGCCACTGATGCCCTGTCCTTCCTCTGCCTCCCCCTGAATGAGATCTGGTGTCTCTCCTGTCATTTCTGTTACACTGCATTGCATTCTGAATCAATATGTTTACCAAAGGCCTTCATGGTTGTAATCACTGTGGTTTCCAAGCTATATAACCATGTTCTGGCAGCATTTTCTCCTGATGTTTCACCCTTGTGCCAACAGGACTGGAGACCGATAGGTCACAAGTTCGAATCCGGGAAGAGCATGGATGAGCTCCCTCTGTCAGCTCCAGCTCCTCATGCGAGGGCATGAGAGAAGTCTCCCACAAGGATGATAAAACATCAAAACAACATCTGGACGTTGCCTGGGCAATGACCTTGCAGACAGCCAATTCTCTCATACCAGAAGCGACTTGCAGTTTCTCAAGTTGCTCCTGACACGGAAAAAAAACTGCATATGTGGCTAGCATCTTCAGTAGGCAGGAGCCCCCAGTGGCGCAGTGGGTTAAACCCCTGTGCCGGCAGGACTGAAGACCAACAGGTCGCAGCTTCAAATCTGGGGAGAGGTGGATGAGCTCCCTCTATCAGCTCCAGCTCCTCATGCGGGGACATGAGAGAAACCTCCCACAAGGATGATAAAACATCAAATCATCTGGGCATCCCCTGGGCAACATCTTTGCAGACGGTCAATTCTCTCAAACCAGAAGCGACTTGCAGTTTCTCAGGTCACTCCTGACACGACAAAAAAAAAATTCAGTAAGGTAAACAGCTTTAGAAAATGCTGCCAGAACACGACCACACAGCCGGGAAACCACACAACACTCCAGTGTGTATACCTGTTACAGTTATCTGATCTGGATCAGAGGAGGGTTTTCATCCCAAGCCAGACATGCATTCCTAACTCTTTCCTCTGGGTATGGATTTACCAGACAGTAATGGCCAGCAATGGGAATGCTAATCTGCACTGTAGGGAAATAAAGGACTTCATCATATGTGCCTCTGGAATAATAGATTATGGCAAATTCGGCAGTGCTCAGGGTGGGGATGTCTGAGGATGCCTGCCATGTGGGTGAAACATCAGGAGAGAAAGCTTCTCGAACATGGCCATACATCCTGGAAAACTCAAAGCAACCCAGAGATTTGATGCATTTACACATGTAAATATTTCAGTGATAATCCTTATGTAATGTTTTCAGTGTGCACCTCAAGCATTCTTAAATTGAGACAGTTTCCAAATAACTATGCCTACAAGATGTATTTTATGTTGTAAAAAGCTATTTTAATGAGGATCCTTGGCAGCAGACTTTATACATTAAAGGCACATAGAGGGAGAACATGAATGCACAAATAAACTGATCCTCCATAATTTTGTATGAGTTCATTTAACAGAAACCTCAACATTAAAGGTTTAGTCTTAATAACTGCATACCTCTGAAAGTTTGAGGCAGCAAGGTAAGAAATAATAATAATAATAATAATAATAATAATAATAATAATTCATTGGAACTTGTGCCACAAATACCATCTGCCTGCGACAAAGAACTGGTGGGATCACAAGCTTGAAAAAGTTACAGAAAATAAACACGTCAAACTACTCTAGGACAAATTCAAACAGACAGAGTTTTGGAGCACAATACTCCTGAACTCACGATCCTGTTAAAAAATAAAGTATGGATTGTTGATGTTGCAATCCCAGGTGACAGTAGGATTGAAGAGAAACAACTGGAAAAGCTGACATGATGTGAGGATTTAAAGGTTGAATTGCAAAGACTCTGGCACAAGCCAGTAAAAGTGGTCCCAGTGGTGATCGGCACACTGGGTGCAGTGCCTAAAGACCTTGGCCTGCACTTAAACACAATCGGCGCTGACAAGATTACCATCTGCCAGCTGCAAAAGGCCACCCTACTGGGATCTGCACACATTACTCACCAATACATCACCCAGTCCTAGATACCTCGGAAGTGTCCAACGTGTGATCCAATACAACAGCCAGCAGCATGATCTTGTTTGCTGTGGACTCATCTTGTTGTGTTTCAAATAATAGTAATAATAATAATAATAATAATAATACCAACAACAACAACAATGAAATCCAGCATATAGATCTCATTTGCTGTGACATACTGTGCTTTTGTGTCAATAATAATAATAATAATAATAATAATAATAATAATTTATTTCTAACCTGCCCTCTCTCCCCAGAGGGACTCCATGTGTTCAGCATAAAGACATGCCAATTAAAAGCACTGGCATAAAATGAGCTTGCCTTACCTTCCAAGGAAAATCTATGTTGTGTAATCAGTGCAATATCACTTTTGATACCAAATAAATAAATACACAGGAAAATGTGGTTCGAAATATTCTTTCAACTTTAGGCAGAATCAGAACAATTAGAAATAGGGTATGCATAATTCAACACAAATATATAAAAAAAACCAACAAAACCCAAAACATCACCTTAAACATTCATGTGGATGTCCTTTCTGTGCAGAACTGGATAGCTTTGTGCAAGAGACAGACTGATAAATCTGGATCTCTGCTTTAGTGAGTCCAGGGCTGCTCAGTCTATCTGGTGGCAGGCTGATGCCAATATGTCCTTATTTCCAATATGTACTTTTTACCTCTTGCTGCTGTTTGGTTTCCTGGAAACTTCCCAAGAACTGGTGGCCAACCATTTTCAGTCCTCCATTAAATCCTTGTGCTGGCAGGACTGCTGACTGGAAGGTTGACGGTTTGAATCCAGGGATGGGGTGAGCTCCCATCTGTCAGCTCCAGCTTCTCATGCAAGGACATGGGATGGTAAAAACATCCAGGCGGCTCATAAACAATGTCCTTGCAGATGGCCAATTCTCTCACACTCCTGACACAAAAAAGTCCTCCATTGATCCATGGACCACCACAAATGAGGACCTACACAATTTCATATGGATGTGTCTGTGTACACAAATATTTTCCATTTATATTTCATCGTTACCTCAATGAGATCATGGCTCTGCTTCTCCCCCATTTTATACTCTTCTGCACTTTTTCTTCACAGCTTCCTTGTGAAGTGGACCAGGCTAAGACAGAGTGACTGGCCAGATTTATTTGTTTGTTTGTTTGTTTGTTTGTTTACTATATTTATATACCGTCCCTCTCCACCCCCAAGCGACTCAGGATGGTTCACAATTGGTGCCAAGACCATAAAATACAATTTCAATACAATAAAAACAATTGGATAATAAAACCATCAATAAAAACAGATTGTCATATAATGAATTTTGAGTGGGGACAAGAGCCTAAATCTCCGAAGTAATCCCCTTAGAAGAAATGTGTGCGTGTATGTGGGATCATATGAACCCCAACCCCAGGTTTCTCACCTCACTAAGAAACTAGCACCTTGAAAAATGAAAAATAACTTACAATGGCTTTAAAAGAAGACAGAGACAAATTCATGGAGGATGGTTGCAATGGCTGTAGACTACCTCCAGCTCCTGGATTCCTATCAAAGAGCAAGAAAATACCATTCTCCACCCGACTTCCTTAAAGGTTTCTTAGAGTCAAGTTGCCGTCCCAAGACATTGGACAAAACATGCCTTTGGCCTGACTAAACATGGCTTTTTGTGTAATGTAGCTCTGCAGCATTATTCATCCAATGTTGTTAGGTGGCCCTATCCATCCATACATTCTGTAGAGATTCTAATGTCCAGCCATCTCTGTGAAGGGCGTCAGAGTATCCAATGATATCTCGGTCTCACATTCAAAGGGGAGCAAAGTTGGCCGATCAAGGTTTCTATAATCACTGGTATGAGTGGCTGGACAAGATGGCGGCCTCTCTTTCTCTAAGAGGGGTCTCCCACAGCTCTCGTCTTCTCCTTGAAAATCCACTGCATGGGGTAGCGAGTGACTCCACGCACCGATGGCAGGTGGAATGAACGGAGCTGAGGTGCTTCCTCTCTTGTGACAAGAAGAATTATGGTGATAGGATGCCAGCTCATTGCTTAAGTTGACTCTCTCGACAGTGGAGCTGTTGGCCGTCCGACATGGAAGGTTACGGCCACGGCAGCCCAGGAGGCTCGCAAAGGCCCGCCTGAAGTCTGCATTGAAAGCATAGATGACAGGGTTGACGGAAGAGTTGGCCCAGCCAAGCCACATGAAGACGTTGAAGACAGTTTGGCTGACACAGGGGTCCCTCCTCAAGGGACTACTACTGTCCGGCCTCGACTCGCAAAAGGGCAGTAGGCAGTTGAGGAGAAAGAAGGGCAGCCAACAGCAAACGAAGACCCCAACGATGATGGACAAGGTCTGGAGCACTTTGGTCTCCTTGCAAAGCGAGCTCCGGAGAGAAGAGGCCGGTTCTTTCCCTTGAGTCAGACCAAGCCCTCCCGCCCTTTCCAGAGAGGAGATACGGCGTATTTGAGCCTGAGCGATGCGGTAAATCTGCGTATAGGTCCCAATCATAATAGTCACCGGGATGTAGAAGCTGATCAAGGAGGAGGCGACGGCGTAAGTGCGGTTGAGCCTGGCGTCGCAGCGTTGGGTTGACAACGAGCGACCGAGGCTCCCAGCTTCCTCAGCTTTGTGCCAATGCAGCTGGACGGGGATGAAGGAGATGAGGATGGAGAGAGTCCATGCCAGAGCGATCATGGCGGACGCCAGGCCTGGGGTCATGCGCCGCTCGTAGCGGAAGGGGCTGGCGATGGCCCAGTAGCGGTCCAGGCTGATGATGCAGAGGTGGAAGATGGAGGCCGTGCAGCACATGATGTCGAAGGCCACCCAGGCGTCGCAGAAGCGTCCGCCGAAGAGCCAGGCACCTCCAGCCACTTCGGTGACCGCCTTCCAGGGCATGACGAGGAGGGCCACGCAGAGGTCGGAGACGGCCAGCGAGAGCACAAACCAATTGGTGACCTTGGCCCGGAGGTGGCGGAAGCGGACCACGGCCAGGCAGACCAGGCTGTTGCCGGCCAAGGTGCTCAGCACCAGCAGCACCAGCAGCGAGCCGGAGAGCACCTTGAAGCTGCCACTGCTGGTGTTACCACCGGCAGTCCCATTGGACAGCAGCAGCTGGTGCCAGGCTTCTTTGCTGTCCTGGGAGGAGTTCTCCATTAGGGGGCGCTCGGCCCAAGAGGTCCACAAGCCCGCCCCGTCTGGTTTGCAGGGAACAGGGCTTTCTGATCCAGGGAAGGGGCTTCTTTCCCCCAGTTTCTAGGATCCGCCAGCGAAATGGAAGCAGAGCAGGCATCAGAGGCTGCTTTTAGTCTTCTTGGCGTGGCTGTGGGGAGTTTCAGCTGCAGACTGAGAGTGGGAGGTGGAGCCGGAGCCGTCCAGAGGAGCGGCTTCTTCTTTCTGCAACAGGAGGAGGCAAAGGGAAGGCAGGCAGGCAGGAAGGAAGGAAGGAGAGCGTGGGGAGAAGCCAAGTCAGGAGGGATAAAGTGTGAGTCCCTTCCTTCAGTTCCCTGTGGATCTATGGAGACCCCATGCGTTTGACAGGGCTCTCTTAGGGAGGCACATTCAAGAAGTGGAGCTGCCAATGCCTCCATCTGAAATACAGCCTACAGCACCTGATGTTCCTCTGTGGTCTCCCATTTAAGTACTATGATTAGCTTCTAAGATGAGAGGGGAGATGGTATTCCTATCCAAGTATTAATAACTAGCCGTCCCCTGACACGCGTTGCTGTGGCCCACATGGGGGTTCTGTGTGGGAGGTTTGGCCCATTTTTATCATTGGTGGGGTTCAGAATGCTCTGTGATTGTAGGTGAACTATAATTCCCAGTAACTACAACTCCCAAACGTCAAGGTCTAGTTCCCCCAAACTGTGTGCCAAGTTTGGTTCAATTCCATCATCAGTGGAGTTCGGAATGCTCTTTGATTGTAGGTTAACTATAAATCCCAGCAACTACAACTCCCAAATGACAAAACCAATTTTTTTTGAGTGATGGTCACTCCTTGGGTTAGTAGGTGTCTTGTGGCCAAATTTGGTGGCAATTAGTCCAGCGGTTTTTGAGTTATGATGTCACTCAGTATGCACAGAGCATTTATATATATATATACTAGCTGTCCCCTGCCACACGTTGCTGTGACCCAGTCTGTTGATCAAGAAAATAAAGTAATGAGAAAGTGTTGATTTCTAATCTTTGTAATTTCTTTATACTTGTGGTAAACAGTATTTCTTGCTGTTTCTTTGTCAGTGTTGATGTGGAGAGTGTCTGGTTTGCCCACCCTGGAACATGCAACATATCATTGTCCTCCCTTAAGGGTCCCTTTCAAATCTATGAGACTATATCTGTGAGTGTGTGAATCACATCTATCTCTCTCTCTATCTATCTAATCTATGGCTGGATGGCTCTTTGTCAGGAGAACTTTGATTACGTTTCTTGCCCTGATGAAGGGAGTTGGATTGGATGGCCTTAAGTATTTTCTGTTTGTCATGGGGGTTCTGTGTGGGAAGTTTGCCCCAATTCTGTCATTCATAGGGTTCAGAATGCTCTTTGATTGTAGGTGAACTGTGAATCCCAGTGACTACAATTCCCAAATGTCAAGGTCTATTTTCCCCAAACTCCATCAAACTCAATACATATTTGGGTGTATTGAGTGCTTGTGCCAAGTTTGGTCCAGATCCATTGTTGTTTGAGTCCACAATGCTCTCTGGTTGTAAATGAACTACAACTCCCAAACTCAAGGTCAATGCCCACCAAACCCTTCCAATATTTTCTGTTGGTCATGAGAGTTCTGTGTGCCAAGTTTGGTTCAATTCCATCGTTGGTGGAGTTCAGAATGTTCTTTGATTGTAGGTGAACTATAAATCCCAGCAACTACAACTCCCAAATGACAAATCATAATTTTTTGAGTGATGGTCACTCCTTGTGTTGTGAGACGTTTTGTTGCCAAATTTGGTGTGATTTCGTTCATTGGTTCTTTAGTTTTTAAGGTACTCATTATGCACAGAGCATATATATATATATATATATATATATATATATATATATATATATATAAGCATAGCACAATATTCGTATTATATATTACTATATTTTACTATACCACTATACTGTAATATTATTAGTAACTAGCTGTCCCCTTCCACACGTTGTTTGGCCCAGTCTGTGTATGTGTTTTGTGTGTCTATATATGTGTATATGTGTCCCTTTGGGGAGATGGAGATGGAGGTGGGGTACAAGAATAAAGTTGTTGTTGTTGTTGTTGTTGTTGTTTGTAACACAACAAGAGTCCACAGCAGACACTCTGCTGGCTGTTGTATTGGATCACACGTCAGACACTTCCCAAGTGTCTAGGACTGTGTCATGTATCGGTGAATAATGCGTGCAGATCCCAGTAAGGTGGCCTTCTGCAGCTGGCAAATGGTAATTTTGTAAGCACCCATTGTGTTTAAGTGCAGGCCAAGGTCTTTAACAACTGCATCCAGTGTGCCGATCACCACTGGGACCACCTTGACTGGCTTGTGCCAGAGCCTTTGTAGTTTTTTTTTTTACTGACACAAAAAGCACAGTATGTCACAGCAAACGAGATCTATATGCTGGATTTCGTATCACAAAATCACAAGTCGAACACTTCCCAATTGTCTAGGACTGTGTGATGTATTTTTTAATGATGCATGCAGATCCAAGTAAGGTGGCCTTTTGCAGTTGACAGGTTGTGATTTTGTCAATGTGTATTGTTTCCAAATGCCGGCTGAGATCTTTTGGCACGGCACCCAGAGTGCCAGTGACCACTGGGACCACTTCTACTGGTTTATGCCAGAGCCTTTGCAGTTCGATTTTGAGGTCCTGATAGCGGCTGAGTTTTTCCTGTTGTTTTTCCTCAATGTGACTGTCACCTGGGATGGCGACATCAATAATCCAGACTTTTTTCTTTTCCACAGTCGTGATGTCTGGTGTATTGTGTTCCAAAACTTTGTCAGTCTGGATTCGAAAGTCCCACAACATTTTTGCATGTTCATTTTCCACGACCTATGATCCCACCAATTCTTTACTGCTGGTAAGTGGTACTTGTGACATAAGTTCCAGTTAATCATCTGGGCCACAGAGTTGTGCCTCTGTTTGTAGTCCGTCTGTGCAATTTTCTTGTAACTACCAGCAGGTCCAACCAAGCCAGAGAGGTCTCAGCTGAGGAGTGGAACCAAGAGCAGCTAACCCATTAGGACTAGGGAGAAGCAAACCAAAGCAAAGTCTATACTGGCTCTGTTGACGCCTAGGCTAAAAAGTACTGTGGTGGATGCTGCTGATTCTGGACATCCATTGACAAGTGTGCTACAGAATCAAAATACAAATGAACAATCACAGAAGCGGCAGAAATATACAATGCCAGAAAACCACGCAGTTATTATTATTATTATTATTATTATTATTATTATTATTATTATTACCCCTTCTACACTGTCCTTATATTCCAGGATCTGATCCCAAGTTATCTGCTTTGAATTGGATTATATGAATCTCCACTGCCAGATAATCCAGATTAAATCAGATAATCTGGATTTTATCTGGTAGTGTGGATGGGGCTTTCCACTCACTCAGGACTCAACCTGCATAGCTCCTAAAGCCCCTTCTACACTGCCATATAATTATCAAAGCAGACATTATCTACTTTGAACTGGATTATATCCAGTGTCATATAATCCAGTTCAAATCAGATAATCTGGATTTTATATGGCAGTGTCAAAGGGGCCTAAAATGAGAGGGGAGATGGTGTGGTCTCCCATCCAAAAACTTAACAGAGATGATTCTGCTTAGCTTCCCCGATGAGGAAGGAGATGGTATGCCTTGTTGTTTTCCCACTCAAATGCTAAACAGGACTGGCTCTGCTTAGCTTCCAAGTTGAAATACTGTTCCTTGGTGATCTCCCATCCAGCTGAACAGGGCTTATCCTGCTTAGCACAGCTTTGGTGTTTTTGCCATCTGTAAATAGTGCGTGCATCTTTTTAAGCATAACTTTGCATAGAGCTCCAATCAGTGCTTCATGATGCAGCATCTGATTGATCTCTTCCCAGCACTCCCGTTTGGGTGACTAAAACAGATACAGCCACAGCTTTTCTCTCTTTTTTTAACGCAAGAGCTGTGAAAATAATACACGGTTTTGTGAAAACTGTTGGCTTCAAAAAAAGAAGCCAGCTGGGTTTCATTTCAGTGTGAGAAGTGTTGATGACATACTGAATTTTTAAAAATGTTCCAGCGGCTGCAGATCTAAGTTGCGTCTCTAAAATGCAAATTGGACTTCTCAAGTTCGCAAATGTTGTGTGTCTGTCTCATTTGGTTTGATAAGACAGACAATCTGGCATTATATAAGCTTGTAGGTAAAGTAAAGGTAAAGGTTTTCCCCTGGCATGAAGTCCAGTCATGTCCAGCTCTGGGGTGTGGTGCTCATCTCCATTTCTAAGCCAAAGAGCCGGCGTTGTCCATAGACACCTCCAAGGTCATGTGGCCAGCATGACTGCATGGAGCGCTGTTACCTTCCCGCTGGAGTGGTACCTATTGATCTACTCATATTTGCATGTGTTCAAATTGCTAGGTTGACAGAAGCTGGGGCTGACAGCAGAAGCTCACACCACTCTCCAAATTTGAACCTGTGACCTTTCGGTCAACAAGTTTAGCAGCTCAGTGGTTTAACCAACTGCGCAACTGGGGACTCCTTCCAGGGGTATTGCTAGAAGGCTTTGCCCTTCAATGCGTTTGCTCTGAAATGTCATTTTCCTTCAATTTCCAATTTCAGCCCTGAAAATTGTTGATTCCCAGAACTCTTCTATTTTCTGTGCTCATAATTATTTGGTAACTTTGCCTACCACATTTCTTTGGATGTCTAAATTGTATTTCTGAGTGTTCAACTGAATTTCCAACTTATTCCAATATAAGAAATACGAGAATGAAGTAAAAATTCATTGGCGAACAAAATTCTCAAAGAATGTCCTATATTCCATTATCGCTACAGTCCTGTAGGATCTTTGTTCACTTTTCTTCATAGGCCTGTCAGCAGCTTCTGATACTGTAAATCATCGTCTCCTCCTGAAAAATGTATAATATCACAAAGGATTACCACTTCACCCGTTTCATAGGAAATCTGCTACAAAACAGGGCCTTTTTTGTTGAGTTTCAGGGTGAAAACAGAAGAATGGCCTGTCTCAGGGGAGCATGCTTTCTCCATCAATTTTTAACATTTACACAAATGATCAGCCACTGCCAGAAGGGACAGAGAATTTAATCTATGCTGACGATCATGCCATCACCACTCAAGCAGGGAGCTTTGAAATTGTTGAACAGAAGCTCTTCAAAGCTTTAGGTGGTCTTACTGCCTATTACAGGGGAAACCATCTGATTCCTAATCCATCTAAAATGCAGACGTATGCTTTTCATC